TCCATCCATGGTCCGTCAGTGGGCGTGATACTACCCGATCGCCCAGGCCGAACTAGATGTTTGTCTTAGGGGCCCCACCCCAAGCCTTTCATCCAGGATCTAACCTACAAGGGCCATATGAGGGTATCGCAACCCGTTGGAAGTCGCTGACCAAACAAGTGCTTTATACGCTTTTATGACCAGGGGCCCAACGCACCCTTGAATTACAATGCTGCTCAGAGCGAGACAAGAGGCAGCGACTTTATTTAGTGGCAAGTCACATCCACTACGTCACAGTGTTGTTAAACGGACATATGTGGCTTTTTGTAGGGAAAACGATTGCCGGACGAAAACCCACCACGTCCTGCAACACTGCCGTTGAACCATTCGCTGGAACGGGATAATCGTGAACCACCCAACTAGCACCACGAGGAGGTTGTTCGGCAAGCCAGCCTTCAGTGATGAATGGGGTTGATGAACCGAGCGCTTACTGGATTCACCTCAAATTTGGCATGAAGAATGCCTTTGACGCTTCTTGTGCACCCCACTTAAGACGTCCTAACTGCGAATGGATCTCTGAGACAACGATCAGCTTGATCGACGCGTGGAAACAAGTTCCAACGGACACTGATTTTTTTCGTGTCCGTCTCTCTTTGGAACGACGCATCGTAGGGCTTCTTCGAATCGACCGGGAACGTTGGTGGAATGCAAGGGCCCGTGAGATGAAGAAATCCAATGCTCTTGGGAACAGCGGTGTTCCGTTCCATCTTATCCGGAACCTGGTGCGAGAAAGTCATCCGTTAGCGAGACAATTACTGAGAAAACGGGCAGCTGATCCATTCTCAGGTTTGGCGACTAGTCCGTTGGGCAGGCTTCCTGAGACATCGCCGCTTGCCGAATCGCCTGGGCCGTCGTGGGAAGCAGATTTGACACCCCCACTTTGGAAGAGATTCGACATGAACTTTCTGTGTTGAAACGAAACATGTTTCCTGGACCCGACGACCTTCCTCCATCTCTACTGAAAGATGCTGCTGACCCTTTGCTCACTAGACAAGCTAATCTAGTTAATACGATTGGTTACACTGAAGAGTTTCTTTCAGACCAGCGACTCAACTATCTTGCGCATCTTCAAGAGGAGCCGGCGTACTTTGTGCGGAAATCATCGTGGCATTACCCTTGTTTCCATTCCATCCAAACTGCTCACCGGTATCATTATCTGACGACTTCTTGATATTCTTGAGAACTGAATCACTGAAAGCCAGGCTGGCTTCCGCTATGATCGTGGTTGTACCGACCACATATTTTCTCTTCGCCAAGAGCAGACACACCTACAGACGACCGACAATGGTGGTTTTTCTTGACTTGAAAACCGTTTTCCACTCTGTTACCGCGCCAGCTTGTGGTATTGCTTATCTTAAGTCTCTCTATTGTGACTCCCGAGACCTTATAAGGGTCTACGGAAAACTGTCTCTTGGGTTCCCCACAACAAGTGGGGTTCGCCTGAGTTGTCCTAAATCTCCTTTTCTCTTAACTATGTTATGGAAATAATCATGAGTGACTCCGTTCTTCCAGAGTGCCTGAGTGGACGTTCCACCAGGTAACAAACTGGTAAACCTGTTCTTGGGTCCGACGCAGTAGCTATGCAAACACGTGCTTGGGTGGGTTGACGCGTTGCGCCACACGCTTCGGCATGTGCTTTACACCTTCAAAGTGCAAGTGCTGTTGTAGTACTGGGACAACACACCTCCGGTACTAGCTATCACCGAACAACCACTGGAATTGATGGATCGGTTAAATTACCTTGGTTGCTGTGTCACCTCCGGTGGTCACATTACTAAGGTAGTTACTTCGCGTATCGGCAGGGCTCTTGTGGCTTTTCAGAGACTCAACCGTCTATGGAGACGACGGGACATCAGCGGTAAGACCGGTCTTACTGTATGGATCAGATACCTGGCCAGTTCGCGGCCAAAACCTTAAACGCTTGGGCGTGTTTGACCACCAGTGATCGCGGAGTATTGCTCACGTCATTTGGGAACACCGAGTGAGCAATGTTGAGGTCCGCCAGTTGGTTTTTGGCAAGACGTTTTCGGGTGCCTCACTGGAGTGTTTGCTGAATCTTAATCGCTTGCGTTGTCTAGGCGTTGTCCTACGTATGCCCGTTGACCGACCTCGGCGTGCACTATACGTTGCGGCTGCACAAACTTTGGTGAAACCACGCGATTGCCTGTCCACAACGTGGCATAGAAGCATGATGAAATTGACCGAGAGACGGGTGCGTCCCGTCTTCGTGGATGGGGTCCTCGGTATCTTCCACACCAATGGTTGGAGACCATTAATACATGGCGCAGTCGTGCATTCAGTGTTGTACTTGCATTCGGTTTCTTGTATTTGGTTGTTAATTTTCGTTCCATTCTTCTTAGTTTAACGCACTTGCTTATAATATCTTTGCATTCTATTCACCTTTAAACCCCACTATCTTGTCGTTGTTATTTATTATTATTCTTGCGATGTGAGTGGTGACAACTGGATCCACTGCACTTCGGTGCTCGGATCATACTTGATCAATTGAACTGAACTGAAAACACATATTTTTATACCTCCTATTCCTTTATGATGTTATCGTTTCTGCCTTCTGTGTTCTACAGGGCATATGTTTCCTTTTTGCATAGGGACATTACTCATAGGAGAAAATGTTATGGATCTTTCTGGCTAGTCGCCATAGGCAGATTGTTTCAATAGCAGGTTGAACTGCTGTACTGATCTCTTGCTACTACGGACTTGATTGTAATGAACTCTGTTGTGCTTCCCATTGCTATCTGCGTGGTCCATACTGTTGACGTGTGCCACAAGTTCCCGTTGGCTGTAGTCTGCCAGGTCACTCCTTTGAAATGCTCCATTGACGCATCGTTCCAATGGCTAAACTTTTCGTCTTATTCTGCCTACTGAAGTCTGGTGACAGCATCACCGGCCGCCGCCTCATCCCCATGGTTTCAAAATTCTGCGACTACTCCTCGGACTTGTTCGGTCTCGATCACAGTGTTGGAAATACCAACTGCTTATGAATGCCTCAGTGGCGCCAACTAAGTCTAACCTGTCTTTACACGCCCTACAGCTCCCATCCGGGCATGTCTAGTGGTCGCCCTTAACTACTAAATGATGCACTCTGTTACACTAAACTCCGTTTTAGTTTCATTTGATGTATTCCCAGCTAACTGCTAAGCCTTTAGATTACCTTTGCTACCGCCCCTTTCATTTCGCTTTCCGATAGAAATATCGACACAGTCGCATTCTGGCTATTGTATTTTGAGAACTGGGGCCTTTAATTGTCCAGGACACTGCTTCATAATATGTTAACTATTTAGCGTACTTGAGGCGTGATGACTCTTAACTATCCTGATCTCGGTTCACTGAGAACTCCGGTATTGCGCCTCACACCATTTACAGCTTATGCCTTCTTGAAGTTATCTTGTTTGCTTAACACGAAACTAAACACCCAGTTGGGGGCGATGACACGCCGGTTTGTTAGCCAGAAGTTTGACGCCCAACCCTGGGAAATGGCATCTGAGCATTGCTTTCTTTCGGTCGACCGTAACATTGCCTCACTGCTTTTGATGGTGTCACTAAGTTGGCATTTCGCTACACCCGCACTACCTGCATTGGCCTGATCACGTGGTTCACATATGCAAAGCTGCCATTTTCAGCGTGTTTGTTGAAATTTCTTCTAGTTAGTTGAGGCCTACAAGCAGCTCTGCGAAGCGAATTCATAAGGCTAACCGAAGGTTCGTGTCATACCGATACTTTCTCCCATCTTGGATGAGGTCCGCTGGATATCATCTCTACGCCTTGAAGTATTATTTGACTCGATGCAATCTGGTCTATGATTCATCGCTACCTTCGACGCTTTGCTGTTGTTATTTTTTACTTATTACCTGGTAGCCGGATCTTTCATGCTCTCGTGATCAAGTCCCATTTTACGAGTTGGTGTTTAACCACTGGTGTTTGCGAAGTATTGCTGACATCTGATGGGAGCATCGGGGGGGGGGGGGACAATGCTGAGGTCCACCAGTTGGTTTTTGACTAGAAACCTGTTAGTGCCTCATTCCAGTGTTTGCTGAATCTTAGTCGCTTACTTTGGCTAGGTCATGTCCTCCGTATGCCCGTACACCGACTTCCTCGGTGTGCATTATACGCTATGACTGTACCAAATTGATGGAAACCGCGAGGCGCCAAGTCGATGACGTGATATAAAGGCCCGGAGAAAATGACAGAGTCTTGGTCAAGCAGGCGCAGGTCGTTTACGTGGATAGGGACTTCCGTGTGATCCGCAACAATGGTTGAAGATGCTTTCAGACCTAGCGAAGTCGCACACTCAATGGCGTTTTTGCATTAGGTTTTTGAATCTAAATGTTTATTTTCATTTCATACTTGTTCGTTTAAAGCACCCCCCTCATGATTCTAATCTCTAGGTTCCATTTGCATCCAACGTTCTTTTCTTTATTGTTATTATTCTGGCGATGTGAGTCGTGGCAACTGCGTCCACCGCACTTCCATGCCCAAATCATAGTTGTTTAACTGAACTGTCTTCATTTATTCGTTACTTGTCACCATTCCATCTGAAGTTTGTCTGGTGCTGACGTTCGGTGTTGGTCACTCTGCCTGTCGAATTTCTCTATTGGATTGTTCCACTGCACAGCCTAGGTCGATCTACTATCGCTTGTTATTCTCATTGGAGAACTATCTGCAGTTTAGCACATTTAGTGCATTGCTGACCTCATTCCCTACCATCTTCATATGCGCCATTCATTTGCCTGGCTGAACTTTTTCTGGGCTTCGTTTGCCCATCATAAGTTTGCCGTTTTTGATACCCTGCTGTTGGTCTTTGTAAAACCGACCCATGAGTTAGAATTGTCGTCAAGATTGCATAACGTCCGTCAGATGTGCTTCGCATGCATTGTCGTCGTTCTAGATCTGTCTCTTTCTCCACTTTTCAATCAATCTTCTCTTTATCCGTGTTTTTTCAGTGACGCTATGCGAATCCAAAAGACACAGGCTATTTTGAATTCCCTGCGAACAATTGAAGATTGATTAATCGTTTTCTTTCAATCCGTTGTGTAAATACAAATATTTTTGAATTCACTATTCTCCACCAGAGCCTCACCTGCTTTCATTTCCTATAAGTATACACTTGTGTTAGATTCCTGAAATTCTGTCTCACACTGTTTGTATTTTTCTTTCCATTGGGTCCCACTAACCAGTGCACTGTTGAATCACATCCTCCGTCTGTTCGCCGAATCTTTGCAACTCTTTCACGGCATTTAGCCACTCCACGGCTTGTACTTCTACCTTTACGCGCCCTTGTGCTTTCCCCTGGTTGTTGATCTTACTCAGGCCTCCACTGTTTCAGTTACAAAACGTCAGCTGATTTTGCAGTAGTTTATTGTTGGGAGCGAGCAACGTTGAAACCTTTCACCTCCGATGCGATCGCAGTGATCAGAATGACCGTGATTTGTTTCAAAGTAAACTGTTGCCTTACTTGAGATCAGCTGACTCAATTCATACACACAGCGAGCTCATTAAAACCCAATAAGTTTTTCTTAATTGTGGGGCCAATAGTTGCTTGTGGAGCTCAGCGCCTTAGTGGTCAGTCATCAGACGTTATCTGGTACTTTCCGGATTGAACCCTCAGTACTGTCTCTCTCCGATGAGTCCAAACAAGGTGGAGACATCCCGAATTACAATTATGTGGGTCTGGACAACACCGCAAACTCTCCATTCTGAACTGAGTCTCACTATTGTCCTCTCAACACAATTTGCTTATCTCTCACTCTACTTTAGACTATCATAAAAATGATGATACGTACTCGTGTTGCCATCGATCTGGTATGTAAGCAGTTTCATCTTCAGACACCAACCGTCTTTTCATGACCAAACGCTGTTGGAAAGTGCAAGTGTCTCTATCCTGAACGTTCATTCAGTGCATTTGGCGTGTTTTCTAGAGTTCCCGAAAACAGCACATTACGGTCCAGCAGTTTACTTAGCAAAGGCGTGTAAGCAAAACTAACAGCACGTTTGGTCCATGGCACACCCTTTCATACATGTTCGTCCACTTTCTTCAAAAACAATATTTTAGGGCCGATTAATCCTCCCTTTAACTCAGTTTAGATGGATATCCGTGACCGTCGTGTCTAACGATTGAATCCGTCCAATTCACCTCACTTATCACGTAGCCTGTCCTTTGGGTCTATCTAATTACCCAGATTAGACGCTCCCATTACTTTTTGCCCTCGTAATTTGAATTTTTACTCTATCACAAATACAACACAACTCATCTTTTTGTTGCTATTATTTGAAATCCACATGCGGCAGATTCGCAGCATCTAGGCTGGATCCGTTTCCCTAGACATGCCCTTCCCAGCATGATCAGAATGCACAACCATGTTAAACCATTTCACGGTGAATTTGGCATTTCGATTTCTTTGGGCACACTGATCAACTCGAAAGCTTCACTATGTTACCTAAAGAGGCAGGCCAAGTTACGGCTTCGATTTTTTGTTGTGCTATGCTGTTTCGATTTTTAGGCTGAGAAATTGTTGATAACAGTGTTTGTGTAAACACTGGGAACAGAATTTGGCTTTTGTCAAACTCTCAAATCCAAAACAAACATGGCATCAAAGCGTTTGAATTGCCGCAAGGGAGTCACCACCCGCTCAATGACCGTGCAGTGCAAGAATTAGCTGCATATCCACTTCTGTAATATCGAAGCCAACTTGTGTAAACTCCTTTAACGGACTTCATCATTAATTGTCTTCTTCATTTGGGACACATACTAAGCCGTTGAGTTGGCTGAGATCTGTTCATCTATGCTCAACCATATGGCCTACGCACTGGAAACAAAACCTGACCCACTCTCGCCACCTGTGTTCAGCTTGACGACGTCGAACAACAGTCGTAACCGTGACTCATCGTTGGAGGCACTGACACTTAGTGAACTTGACATTCAGCCTAAGATGAAAGCCTATGCTGCCGTCGTGCCTCAAAGCGCGCGCCAGAGACAGTTCGTTCGGATACGGCTGTGCGCCGTGATAAACTAACGAATACTTCAAAGCCCAGCACTCACAACGAACGCCCACGCTCTCAACTGGAACTCGTTCTGCATAGAATGTCTCAGTGGGAGTATTTAGTGAAGTTGCATTCTCAGCCCTCAAAGCCTGCTATTCCCGAGAGAAACAGACCTCATCGCGAGCGGTACTTGATAATTGTCAACGCACTTGAAGCTGAAAAGCAAACAACTTCGGAGAGGATTTCGGACGACCAAGCGTTTCTAAAGCACATGCTCTACTGTTTGATGATAAGGAACCTGGGATTACTATTGTCTCTGCCTTTCGCCTCTGCAGAAGGCAGGACGATTCTTCCAAGGTTCATTCACTTAACATAGTCTGTCAAAATAAGGCCGAATGACGCCGCATACTTAAGCAGACCTCGAGGCTCAAGGGAAAACATTTTATGTCCTGAGGGATCTCAACCCGGCAGATCGTGTTAAACTGAAGGCGGCATCCGATGAGCTTAGAACTCGACAAGCGAACGGTGAAACAAATCTCCACCTTGTGGATTTTCGCGTTGTACAGAGAACCCTGAGAGCTCGATAGAAGCCGATCCTTGTCCTGCCCGGATCGCAAGATCAAGCCCAGCACATGGATTGCAAGTGATGTCTGCTAATATTCGTAGCATGCGGAATAAAGGGGACGAGATTCTCGCTCTCACCTCGGAGCTTCGTTCGGACCTTTTGCTTTCACTGAGTCTTGGCTAACCCCGGACACACCTGATGGCGAAGTCCATATCCCAGGATATCAGCTTTCTCGTGCTGATCGCTATGAAACTAAGACTGGCGCGGCGTTCTCCTTTACTGGAAATCAGACCTGATGGTTCACGCCATCGAGATCATTAGTGATGGCGGTTCAGAAATGGTATTGTGTCGTGTGCATGATGGATGCAAACCCCTCACTGTCGGGGTGGTGTACAGGTCGCCGTCGAGTAACGGTGCTGACATTCTCGACTCAGTCAAAACCTATGGGAGAGATGGGATCTGTCTAATTTTGGGGGATCTCAATGCACTGGATGTCGACTGGGATCTACTCAAGTACAGACTATCTCCTGAATCCTTTGATGCTGCTCTACTTGGTGCAATTCTTGAAGCTAACTTACTACTGCACGTCTCTACGCATACCGGGTTATTATTGGGTCAGCCACTGCACATCCTCAATCTAGTGCTGACACCAACACTAGCTGACGTCTTCGTTCTGCTCTTTCTCCGACCAATTTTCCATAGTGATCACGGCGCTCTTTCCTTCACATGGATACAGCATGTAACCACTCGCAACCGAGGAGTCTACCATCGGAACTTCTGGCGCACCGCTAAGCATAATGGCTAGCACCTAGGACTGAACCGTCCCTCAAGATCTAGATGTTGATGGTGCTTGTAATCTTACGCTCCAAAATAAACTTACTCATTGAATAAGTTGTCCCTAACTCTAGAAGCAGCTCCGCGCGAGAGTGCCTCTTGGACTGATTGAAAACTGCGGCTCTTCATGAATCAGTGGTGGGAACTATGGGCAAATTCATGTTCTTCCAACTGACCTCCGATTACTTAAATTACCGGGCATTTAGAGACTTGTGTTTCCAGGAAAATCGTGGAAAAACAAAATTTGCACTCAGTTTAGCGGAACAATTCTCTTCTATACCAAAAACTATACGCTTATTTCAACAAGAGAGCCAAAGCCGATTGAGACGTACTCGCTGTATCAGCCGACGCGACAAGAATCGACCTTTATAAAAACGAGGAGAAAGCGAATATATCTGCCTGGCACTATTCCTTTGTATACTTACCACATGCTCAGTCGACCATCATACATGAGTCCATGTCCCCCTACTGCCTGGAACTACTACCAGATCTAAACCCGAACTCCCCACCCTGCCCCGAAGGGTTGCATCCCATTTTCCTCAAGACAATGGCTGGCTTTGTTTCCGCACTCACCTACCAAGTCCTTCAGCTGTCTTTGAAGGCTGCTCGTTTACCTATCGACTGGAAAACTGGGATTGTAATGCCTAAGTACAAAGGAGGAAATCGCCAAGACCCTGTTAACTATTGCCCAATCTGCTTGACATCCGTTATCTATAAAGTTATGGAGAAAATCATCAAATGCGCTCTACGGAAGCACTGCGACAAAAGTAACATCACTTCCTCTAACCAGCATGATTTCCAGAAAGGATGCTTCTCCTCCATTAACTTGCTAGTGACGAGAGAATGGTGGCCGAGATCACTTGGCACGTGACAACGCATATATGTAGTTTTCGTCGATTTTTCAAAGCGTTCGACAAAGTCCCACGCCAGCGACTACTTTGGAAGCTTATGGAAGGCTGTGTTAGTGGCTACCCTCAGTCGTAGCTTGTCGACTTCTTGGAAAGTCGAACCATACAAGTGAGAGTGAACGAGACACTTTCCAAGCCAGTGCTTACAACAAGCGGTGTTCCATAGGGATCCGTCCTTGGACCCGAACTGTTAAAGCTGTATATCACTGATCTTCCTGCAACTCTCCAAACCGAATGCTTGATTTATACCGAGGACCTCAAGCTGTGGTTTGAGGTGCCTGATCTTGACGCCACTGATCGACTATAGGTGACCCTTATGCTATTATATAACTGGGCCATCAAGTGGGGCGTACCAGTGAACTAAGAAGATGTGCGCTACAGATCGGGGCTTCTGAGCCACTTGGAACTTACCACATTGGTGGGTTCCTTCTCAAACACACCGCTCAAGAGAAAGATCTAAGCGTAATAATAGCACCTGATCTAAAAACCACACAGGATACACTGGAAAAGGTCGCTGCTGTAGACAGCATATGCTATGCCATAAGAAAATCTCGAATGACACCGAAGATCTTCAGACTCCTGTTCACCCCCCCTCCCCATGTACGCCCGATTTTAGAGTATGGGCGGCCAGCTACATTTCCACTCTCTAGGCTTTGCCTTACTTTAAATGGTCCAGAGGAGTGGATCCAAGTTCGTTTCCCAGCTTCGTGATCTTTCAT